TCAATGTCAATAACTACCCTCAAGTATTTAAATCTGAATACCACCCTATTCTCAGCCATCTTGCAAATAAAATTGAAACAAACATGCAACAAAAACCCCAATTTTAGATAAATTACTAACATGCAACATTAATTTCAAAAAACAACATTTCCCTAAATTAAATCAAATCAAGAACCCTAATTTTTCCAAATCATAAATTATAACAACATAATTCAATTAAACCCACAATTTGTAGTGCAAATCACAATTTAATAACATATGAACCAAAAGTACAAAACAATTTAACTCAATTCAACTTCAAATTTAGCAATTGTATACAAAATTAGTGAAAGTTGGCCTCTTTTTTTCGCCTCCAACAGTGCTTCAGAAATGCGTCTAAAATATTCACACAACCTTCGCAATTCAACAATGAACTACAACCCTAAGTTTAAATCAATTCCTTTCCAAGAATTTTACTGTTTTCATTCCAAATTTTAAACACAGTCAAATGGGGGAAAAAGGGAACAAAGTCGTTATTTAAAAGAGGGGAATTTAACTAACTAGCCGTTAAAGTGAGACCCACTAATGGAAAAGTTGACAGAATGTAGACGGAGGTAGTGAAAGCTACAATTATGAGTTATTGGAGGTGTCAATTTAAAAATAAATTTTAAATGGGTACGAAATTCAATTACCACCATTTTTTAGGTACCAAAATTCAAATTTTCCTTTTAAATACTAAGTATAGAGTATAAATATAGATACTAGTTTGATTTCCAACATGTATCTTCTATTTTGCAAGCATGATAAATGGAGAATCGAATAATCTCAAATTTTATAATTTTCAACAGTAATATCAGTAAAGAATACTCTCACCGTTTCATAATGTTAGTTCTATTAATCAGAGTGAATCTTCGAAATTTCACTACATATAACAACAAACATTGTCATACGAGATCTAGTTTTTTCGTCTCAGTGAATACATTATTAATATCCAATTTTTATAATTTTTGCTAGTGTGAGATTAAAGATATTTGCGATCCAAAATTTGATTGCGTTGATAAATGTAAATGAGATTAACAATATGAAAAAGAGGAAGTACAGTAAATCATTACGAACATGTGTAAATATGGATACATGAATACATCATATATATGTACTAGGGCAGCCAAAGCGCACGTTTCGCGCGGGGTGGCCAACCCTTTTGCCTTAATTTTTCTTGGCTTGTGTTTGCACTTTACATGGAGTTAATTTTTCTTGTCTTTGATGTTGTAGAATATTCTTGGAAATGTGATACAACATGCTGCACCCTTATTTAAGTAGTGAAAAAACACAACGTGCTAACACTTTATATAGGAATTTATGATATTAATATATCTTTTGCGCTCATTGACTTAATTGGAAACAAAAAGGTACATCATATAGCAGTACATGGTATTTCACAATACATATATAGTAGTGGCATTAATACATAATAGAATTCAAATTCACATGATTTCACAATGCTTAAAAGTCAACGGAATCAGAAAATGAATTCGGACAAAATGCTTCTAACAATTTGGTTTTGCAGTAAATTAACCCTATGCAACCCATAATTCCCTTAAATATTCCCTTGAATCCCTTATTGCTTTCTTCCCCTTTTCACCGTAGTCAGTTTGGTTTTCTTTCTTTCTAGTACATCTACTTCGGCACAATCATAGATTAATTTCATTAGTTTTAATGTCCTTTAAACACAATTATGTGTAAGTCATTAATTTCGACCTTCACAATAGATAGAAAAAAGAACTCCCACACAAAGCAATAACTTTTCATTGCCTGGTGACTAATGTTGTCATGTAATAAAAATATAAAATCATAATACCCGTTAAATTAAATATAGAAATTTTTAAACTTTATTATTCCATTCTTCATTTAATTTCTAGTTAATTGATGGGTCTTAAGAAATATTACAAAATTACACTGGGAGTAAGAAACTAAAAAAACATTTTGAGGGGTATAATAGTCCGTGCACTATTGTCTATTCATAAGAACAATCGCCCACTTTTTATAAGGTAGGGATATAAATGAAGCTTGTTTCCATCATAATTAGTTGAAGGCTTGAAGCCATCATTTAAGATAAATATATTTGAGATTTAGAGCCAAATATCAATAGACATAGGATATTTTTTGGTATGTATTATTATTAATATGATCATATCTTATTATCAATTTGTTTGATTTCATTTTATCATTTGTAATCTTTTAATATCTTTATGATTTCATGTTTATCTTACTAATTTTATTAATATTCCTTTTTAACACTATAAATAGTTGTCCTTTCATTAATTTTATTAGCTTTTCAACATTTTTTTTTCATAACTCTATTAGAATTAGCTATTAGACGCGGAATGAGTTTATTAGCTTTTCAACATTCTCGTTTAACTCTATTAGAATTAGCTATTAAACGCAGAATGAGCACGTACAGACTCGATGAAACTCCTGATACCTTTCTATCAGGCGTACTTTATGAAGGGTCCTATATTTTTAGAAGGACTCGCATCGATGGAGAGTCTAATGACAGATTACCTCGGCGACATAGACCTTAGGAAAGATAAGTTGTTCATATATGGAACTGAAATAAACGAATCGAATCGAGAAAAGCTGCATAACTCTCTTATTTTGAGGGCAAGTGAAGGAACTCTTTGTGTTAACTGTAATGGAGCATGCTATATCCTTATACACAAGATGAAAAACTATTATCGACTGATTGATAACCCAGAAAGATAATAAGTATTTGGAGATGGAACTAAAAATGGTTCAACGTCAACTTTCTTCCATTTTTTTCGAGTTATTAAAAACCTCGAAAAACATGGAAAGGGTAGTAGAGTTGGAGGAACAACAGTCTCTTAGTAAGAGGGAATGCGGCGATATGAAGGTAAAGCTACAAAAGATTGAAGATCGGGTGTCTTTGGTTGAAAGTCTTTTTTTTAAATTAACAATGGCGATTAAAGAATTTTTAAATAAAATTGTAGAAAAGCTTTTCTCCTAGAATAAAAAATCAATAGACTTTCTCTCTCCTCTAAATGCTCTATTCTCTCTCCTCTAAAAAGAAAACCCTCCTCAAACCTAGAACTCACGGGAGTTCCAGCGCCGTGGCTGGTTCTCTGGCGGGTTCCTCTTCTATGTATTAAGATTTTCTTTGCTCGTGTTCTAGCGTTGAAGGTGAAGTGGAACCAAGCTCCCAGCGGGCTTCAAACTCCGCTTAGTGTTAACTCTTCTTGCCGGAAGTTCTCAAGGTGGTTTTCTCAGTTTTTCAGTTTTAAAGTTCTAGTAGCTTTGTGATTTGGGTACTCGAGGGTAAGAAGGTTGTTTTCAATTGGGTTTAAAGTTTCGTTGATGAAACAAGATTCGACGGCTAGCTCTAACGCCGCCGACTACGTGTGATCGAAAAGATCGAGTTGGTAAAGGTAAAGTTAGAGTTAGGGTTCGTTTGTTTTCTTGTGTTGGGCTTTATTCTCGTTCCTTTAACTTCCTCTGCCCATTTCTGTTTATGACACAATATCGGGTTTGTCTCTTGGTTATCTTGCCGCCGGTGATGTTAGTCCAGTTTGACCTTCACGGTGAAGGATGTAATCGAAGGCTGGTGATAGTTGGTTGGTTTCTTGTTGTTTAAGGGCTTTTTTCGGTTTAATTTTAGTTTTCCTTGCTTCTATGGGTCTTTGCTATGAGTTTGATGCTATGAGATGCGGTTCTCTTTGTTCTAGTTGGGGTTTGTCAAGTTTAATTGTGGGTTTAAAGGGGTGTGTCGTGCTCCTGTTTAGAATTTTGGATATGCGAGTTTTGGTTTTGTGGGGAATTCGCCATTGTTATGGTATGGTTCGGTTGTTATGGTTGGTTAGGGTATGTTATTTGTTTGTTGTTTCCTCTTTCGATTTTCTCAGGTTATCCCTTGATGTCCTTTGTTTCAGCTTAGTAGTGGATTTTCAATCTATTACTTAGAAAAATATCTATCTTAACACTGCTCCCCAAAATGAAATGTTTGGGGGCCTCCAAAATGATATTATGGAGGTTTATAGTATGTCAATGGTCTTTTTTCTTGAGAAAGGATCAATAGTACCCACAGTTAAGGGTATCGAATCACTTGCATGGGAGATTCAATGTGTGTTGTTACGCCCTAACCGCTATGTTTTCCTACCCCATTTATTTATTGTTATAGGCACTCGGTGTCCTTTTCAACTCGTTAATATGTATGCCAGAATTTGTTTGTTCTTCGTCCTCCAATGAATTCTCCAAGCTCAAGAGAATGCGGAATACATAATCAGAATGGTGTGTTCCTCATCGCATGCTCAAAGGATAATGGCAGATTATTCAAACCAGCAAGATCTAATGTGGAAGTACTTTAATTTAATGTATTCTCGTTGTAATAGAGGAGCTAATAATGCTCTTAGTTTGTAATATTTTTATTTTTATTTAAATCGTTGCCAAAAAAAAAAAAAAAAAAAAAAAAAAAAAAAAAAAAAAAAAAAAAAAAAAGAAGAGAGAGAGAGATTGGAAGGATAGACATTGTTATTTGCTTAAAGTAAGATTTAAGAGTATATGTTTATTAAGTCTGTTGCTTTTTAGTTGTTAATGATTTTTTCTTTACTATTCATATAGTAATTTTATTTTTATTTTTATTTTTGTCAATTAATAGTTTATACTTATCATTTGAAATATACATGCATAACACAAAAGATAATAATGGTCAATAAAAAATTCAATCTAATTTATTAGAAAAGTTAGATATTATTCTTATAAATAATCTAATTAATATATATATATATATATATATATATATATATATATATAGTTGTAACCAATTAAATAAGACATTATTAATTTCTTTTACAATTAAATTATTCAAATGCCACGCAAGCAAAATTGACGAATGAAATTTTAAAGTTTAAATTAATTAAATACAAATATTATCTTTTGAGATTATGAATTCTATTTAATATTTTAAAACTAATATAATAACAATTTTAATCACATAAATATGAAAAATATTTTGTAAAAAAATACTAACAAACCATGCATGTATAATATAAGGTCAAACCAAAAGTTTATAACCAATTAAAATGGTCAAATGGTTGTGATAGCGCCATGCCACCATGTGAGTGATGTGACCATTGTAATGTTATGGTGAACATTATTTAGATGATCACCTTACAAGTGTACCTACAAATTTGTACCCATTGAGCCCAAGGGTACACTGAATCTGCGGGCAGGATATTTGCATTTGCCAAAGCTCACCTGCACCGCCTGGAAAAATTGTACTCTGATTTTTAACATGGAAAAAATCATTGAGGATTCATATCTGTGAGCATTTTTCATAGAATTTATTTAAAATAATCTTCACTATACTTCAGATAATTTACATTCAAGCGATTACAAGCTGCCAAAATCACTTACTGAGACACTACAGCAAGGCTAATCTTCTGCACAAGAAACCAGTGACCGTAAATCTTGGACAGCTTCAGCAGTTCAGCTTATGTGCTTTGCCCAGCCAGCAATGACATCCGCTGGTGATGCAATTGTTTTCACAAATGAATCCCTGGAAAATATATTCTGCACACACGTAGTAGACTATCAGAATTCACTTCGATTACACCATTTACCTATGATTGATAATTCTAAGGTGGTAGGTTCGTTCAATAAAGTATTATTCTGTAACTTTTTTATATCTTAAAATCATTTCGACTTTCTGCATTTTTGAAATTGCTGTGCTTAGCATTAGAAAAATTCGAGAATTATTCGCAATAGATGTACTCTTTAATTATCACTGTGTTGTTTCCTTTTTGTGTGTGCTTGTACGTTCTGGTTATTTAGCACATCTATTGCTGGCTTGCTGCAGTAGAATCCTATGGATAAGCAAACAGATTATCTTTTAAGGGTGATCAGTATGTTAAAGTGGGAGGACAAGGCCAGCCTCAAAATTCAAGCCTCTTAATTATCACTGTGTTGGTTCTTTTGTGTGTGCATACATGTTTGGGTTATTTTACACAACTATTGCTGCGGCAAAATCCTTTGGATAACCAAACAGAATCTTTTTAGGGATTGATCAGTATGTTAAAGTGGGAGGACAAGGAAGGCCTCAAATTTAGGGGGGCAAGAAAAACCGAGAATAGGAGATAAAAAAGAAAGGTAATCAATACTGCAACTATGGTCAGCAAGAAAGTTTTGGAGACAATTGTTCTTGACCTGCCAATGCCACAAGATGAAGAGGACGAGATGAAGTCCCTTAATTCTATAATCTCTAGTGTTCAATAAGTGGCCAAATGTCAAAGCTTTAAAAAAAAAAAAATAACTCTTAGCAACCACAATTTTTAAGGATGGATGATAAATGGCAAAACTTTTCACAAGATGAAGAGGATGAGATGAAGAGGATTGTTCTTGACCTACCAATGCCACAAGATGAAGAGGATGAGATGAAGTCCCTTAATTCTATAATCTCTAGTGTTCAATAAGTGGCCAAATGTCAAAGGTTTAAAAAAAAAAAAAAGGGATAACTCTTAGCAACCACAATTTTTAAGGATGGATGATAACTGGCAAAACTTTTCACAGATCTTTAGCTCAGTCTAAGCTTTTATAGCTTACTTTTAGAACCTTGTCAAATTGTTGGAGCTAAAGTTGAAAGAATAGATAGAAAAATTAGACACAGAAGAGAATGATCTATATGTTACAAAGAGAGTGGCAATAGCTTCAATTTCTAGTTCCTCCACTTCAATCATTGATGATGTTAATAAGGCTCCTGGGACTCTTTCAAAGATTCCAACAATTTCTCTCGTTCCTTAAAAGCCCACAGGAACGGCGTTAATGCTCCCAGATCCATAGCATGAGTAGTTAAAACAAGTAAATGATTTGATACCAAGTATTAGATATTAATTATGAACTTGAGATGAATAAGAAATGGGTAAAAGACAAGAGTGAGGATAATACTTTAAATCAGAGTCAATTGCATCAAGCTCTAGAATTCAACAATTTTTTTAAAATTATAAAATGAACTTTAAATTTATGATATTAGTCAAAGCTGGGATATAGCATGAATAATCAGGATCTGGCTACTGATTACTTCTTGGAACAAACAACTAATGAAGGGGCCCGTAGAATTGCATAAGGTGTAGTTCCCTCTGGTCCAAGTTTAACAGACTATGTGGTCTCTAATAAAAAATTCAAGGGCATTTAGGGAAGGATTACATAGTAGGAAATGGATCACTGCAACAGCTTGAATCTACAATTTGATAGTCAGTAGTCTCAGCACTTGTCACATCATAGAAAAGGGTTTTAGTTATTCTCATTGCAGCCTAAACTATGTTCAAGAATAATAAAGTATACACGAGAACAGTAATTACTAGTTTGTTAACCGGAAACTTGGTTCAAAGCACAAGGAGGCTTCAACTTGTTTCTTCAAGCAAAGCAATTGCAAGACTAAGAAGATCGAATGTGGTTGAACCAGCTTTAGTCTAGTTGAGGAAGACCCTTCACTTTAATTTGACTGATGTTCTATATTCAATCCCATATACCAAAAGAATAAAGAAAACAAAATAGATACTACGTATAAATAATTTTGACTTATGTGCAGTATCCATTCCCCTCATAAAAGAGCATAATTCTTTTACAATTATTTTCTATGCCATGAGGTGGTCAAAGAGTAAACAAATAAGAGATACCTTCATGTAAGACTTCACATAGGGAAGTGACTCTGGAACAGACCAATTCTTGTAATTTCCCAATGCAATCTCCATATGGTAAAGCTTTGGTCCGAGAGATAGGTCCGCTGCAGAGATCTTCTCCCCATTAATAAAAGGCCCCTACAGGTAGAAATTTATCAATATATGTAAAGGTTAGGTTGTTTGTAATTGGTTAACTACAAATTCTACACCCGCCACAAAATCCACATAATTCTAAAAGTTAAGCTGCTTCTAATTACAAGGCTCATATCAAGCAAATAAAGGTGGAATCAGGGAGTCAGCAAAGAGAGAAGGCAAGCATATTGCTGTCCAAATTTATGAAGCCAAAGACATCAGCATATATTATTGAATTAATAATTTGCTATACAATTGCATACGATAACTGCCTTAATGAGTGCCATAAATGGACAAGCTCATTAAGTCACCAAACTAGACTACATTAGATAGCATTGCACAAAATTACTCCCTCAAAAGGAGAATTAAAGCAACACTACCTAGCAGTTGTATTAATTACAATTATCTCATGTGCTGCCAGAATCCACTGTATGGTTCAGTCTAGCTAGGAAATTTAGATTTTAACCCCAACAGAGGTCATCAATCACGATAAGAGATTTAACTCACTTTAGTCCTTGCAATTTTAGTAGTTTCATTTCCTTTTCCCCTTAAAAGTTCAGTTTTGATTTATTTCCTATTCCCCTTGAGAATTCAGTTTAGATTTATTTTGGCAACCTTAACGTTTTTCAACTCTTTTGTATTGTTCTCTACTATGTAGGCATTCAAAGTACACCTCCTGAGGCAACTCCCTTCAATCATGAGCCTGAAATTGCTGAGTATCAGGCTCACAAGCTCGCAAGGGGGAAGCATGAAGCTAAAATGTTGAGAAGAGACTATGTTTCAAACCCATGGGTGCTAGTAATCTGCAGAGAAGTAGGACCTTGCTTTACCAGACATGACATTCACTTTTGGAATGAAAGAACTTTTTTAAGGGTGAGTTCTCTTCACAAATCTGGACTTGAACTTGTAAAGTCATTACTAAAAACTACAAAGTACAAATCAATAACTAAAAACATATTAGCTAGTAGTAATACATTTATTATACGATTCATCCATTAATATTACATAATAATTAGGAAAATTTGTCTGAAAAACCTTTTAAAAACACCATTTGGCGGGAGGGGGGGGGGACCTTTTAAAATTTTTTTGGCAAACGAAAACCACCAACTTGCATATTTTGTGTCAAAAGAAACCTTTGTGTACTTTTCCGGCATTGACTATATAATTTTCAAGCATTGACTTCTTTTTCTTATATGCACCCAATTAACTTGTTATTTACACTCCCTCTCTCTTATTCCTCTCTTATCATTTTCAGTCATTTCCTCCAAAAAAAAATCCCTCTCCTCGGCATTGGCGATAAACTCGACAAAATCACCACCTTAAACAACCATAACTCCCAATCTCCACCACCACAACAACCACCACTACCGCAAACAACAACCTCCCAAAACCAACTTCTCTCTCCATCGACTTCTTCCCTGCTTTGATGCACAACACCACCTTTTGAACCACTTACCAAATTGTCCCTGACGCATACTCCAACGCCATCACCGAAAAGTCTTACCTCGGTTGTGAAGTCATCCGTTACGATAAATTTGAATTCGTGTTTAGGTCGAGGTTTGGATCGTCGATTGTGTTGTTCTTCCAATTGAAAGAGAATATTAGAGCAAAATATATAAACAAATTAAACGACCAGCACTACCTCCTTCGTTCAGTCCTCAATTCATCTCCACCAACACCATCGAATCTTAAAGGAGGACCGCCTCTATCTCTATTTCCATCTCTTATATTTGGTTTTTCTAGGCAAGGGTGGGGGTTCAATTTTCAAGTGGTTGGGGGTGGATTTAACGAGGTAGGGTGGATTTTAAGAGGTGGGTAGCTAATCAGCAGTGGGGTGGGTGGGATGAACTTGACCTGATTTGAACTTATGAAACTTATTGGAATTTATTGGACTTAATTGAAACTTATTAGACTTGAAACTAATTTTTTAAAAGGGAGAACACACCTTAAATAAGCAGTGGAAGCAAAAAGATGATTGTACTCTTAAATCTGAAACCAGACCCCTCTTCAAAGAGTAACCAACAAGAACTTCTATGGGATTGTCTAATTTTTTCCATTTCACTCTCCTTATACAGGGGATGTTCTATTTGTTCCCCATAATAGAGGAGGCTAATCTGTAAATTTAGAGAACTTGACCTAAAGTTGAAAATTCCTTTAGTTAACTACTTAACAAGTGTGAGAAAGTAAAAAGAAAAGAAAAACAGTACTCCCTCCGTGTTTTAATAAGTGTTACAGTTTGACCAAACACGCATGTCGAGACACTACTTTAACCATTAATTTATCTAATTATATTTTAGTAAAATCATAGGAAATTTTATAATATGAAAGTATACATTATAACGAATCCAACAATATATTATATAATAACATCGGTTTTTTATATATTGGTAAATTAATCAAGTCAAAACCTTTATGTGAATAGTAAAAAAAGTCAAAGTGTAACACTTATTAAAACACGGAGGGAGTATAGCTTAGATTTCAAACTTATTTAGGAAGATTTCAACTACTTCATTTAAAGCTTCTTGAGAATTTTACTACTCTTCCTCATCATTTAGCTTCATGCTTTTGCTGATTTCTTGCTTAATCCTACTTAATTTAATCTATATATAGTGCTTAAATTTTGCTTTAGTTTTGCTCTTAATCATGAGTGGTGAATAATCTAAGCTTCTAGGGTTATGGTAAAAACCAATCATGTAAATATAGGTTAGTTGATAAATTTGGGGTACCTCGTAAATCAATTTCTTGCTAAAGACATGCTGAGTTTTAATCGTGTTGGACTCCCATAATTGATTGTTTTGAGATCATCACATGAAATATCAAAAGATGAAACTACAAGTTTTTTAAAAAAAAAAAATGGAAATAGAACCTTGTAGGTAGGGGGAAACTCGTTATTAAAATACCAATGTTAATTTTTTTCCCTAAGTAGTTTCTTGACACCACGCAAATAGGTAATTAACTAAGAAGTCAAGCATACTATATTTGGCTTAAAAGAGAACTTAAGGTAGCCAAGAAAGTATCTCCCTCAACCATTATCAATCCCATATATTCTCTCTTTATTGATCTATCTTGTTGTTTTTGCTTATTGTGGCAGTACTCCTAGCATTAGGTTTTCTCTAATTGATAATCATCTTAGTTTAATTTTTTTACTAGTTCATTTCAAGACTTTTAATAATTTAAATTAGCATAGTTTTTGGTGCTTACATGTTAGTGAAGACTCTAGAGAGCATTATTCTCTAAACCTAGACTCAGCTTACCATTGTGACTAAAGTGCTTGCAATAGGTTTCCAGTTGATTAACCTTTGCCCATCATACTACATAGCTAAAAGGACCAAGTTAGATTTTTTTTTTTCCTTGAAATTGTTGTGATTGCCTATCTCCAGCACATTCATGCCTACCTATACTTAGAAATCTCAAGCAACTTTAACAGCAAATGAGAGAGGTAAACATGGAAAGGAGATGAGGTACTGATTTAATACCATGCATAGATTTTGTCTTATTACAATTTAATACTACATAGTTGGATACTTGGATATAATGGGTTTGTGAGGAAGAAGAGGGGGGGTGGGGGGTATGCCATGAAGAAGGACCTTACATTTTCTTTCAGGTAATCATTGAAGGAACTGAGCTCATTAAGTAATTCCTGCTCTTTTCCATCGCTGGGGTCCTTGCTTTTAAGAAAGCCAACAAACGCAGGAAAAATCTTTGAACCACTGCACAAAAAACAGCCAGAGTTTGAGACACTGACATACTATGAAGAATCTAGCTACAAAATCAAATATGTTAATTAGATCATACATCAGAACTTATAAAGTAAAACAGCCTCTGCACTGAACCTCGTCTCTATCATTACCCTGCCTCGTCTCGCCCATCTGCTCAAAATAATCCCACCTTTTCGAATTCCAGAAATAATCCCACCTTGTAACCCCATCTTCCCAAAATGAACCTTTTTACCTACAACCATTTCAAGGTAAATTTTTTTTTGTTCGAATAATAAAACAAAGGCAAAAGAAAAAAAAGAAAAAAGAAAAAAAAAAAGAAAAAGAAAAAGGAAAAATCCCCTAACACCGTAACCAGCCCCACCCCACCATTGGCACCACCATCACCGTAACCCAGCCCCACCCAACCCCATCAGCGACAGCTTAACCGCACCCCTGCCCCACCAATACCCGCGAAACCCTCCTTCCCCCATTCTCTCTCCCCAAAAACCATCCCGCCTAACTACCTCAATCACAACCTAGCCTCACAACTCCAACAACATCGCAACCACTTCTTCACCCTAGACAACCAATTTCGAACCCCAGCCTCTTCGAACCACCGCGAATACCACCTTAAACCCCACTTAAATTGGCTGCGATTGAATTAAAGCTTGTGGCTACATTTTGGGGTTGAATTGGAGCTTGTGATTGCGATTTGTGGGGCTGCGACATCACGGCCGGGAGATTGGGGTAATTGTGGAGTTAGTGCAATGGTGGTGGTTGTTGGGTATGTTGGGCGAATTTGGAGGTGGTGCGGAGGTTGATTTATGTGGCAGCAACTGATTTGGAGGTGGTGCAGTGGGGTTGTTGATGTGGCTGGGCGAAGCCCGGGAGTTAAGAGGGGTTGTGATTGGTGGTGATTTGGTGTATGTGGGTTCGGTGGTGGTGGGTTGTGGTGGCAACAAAGGAGAGACTTTGTTGTGATGGTGGTAAATGGTGGTGATGGGGTTTATGATTTGTTGTGATGGAGGTAAGGAAGAGTGGGCTCGGCAAAGTGGCAGGGGAAGGAAGAAGAAGAGGGGTTTTTTTTAGTTCTTTAATTTTTGAAATAATTCTTTAATTTTTTAAAAACCAATTAAAAGGTGACACGTGTCAAATTACCTTTTAAAATAGGTTACTAATTCAAGCAACCGGTCATTAAATGAAAAAGGTTCATTTTGGGAAGATGGGGTTACAAGGTGGGATTATTTCTTAAATTCGAAAAGGTGGGATTATTATGAGCAACTGAGCGAAAGGTTGGATTATTCTTTTCAGTTTTTCCTTTCTCTTTTTGTGGATCAAATCAAAGTTATATATTGAATATTGTATGGATATCTTCTGAACCAAGATTAACTGCATATGTCCAAAATCAAAACCCATAAACAATGAAGTGGGGAACATACACTGTACTCTTCTCGGGAGGTGTTGCCAAAGGTGGATTAGGATATTTCTCTTCTAGGGAATTTGCAATGACATCTGAATCAGCAACCCATTTTTCATCAAATTTCACCACAGGTACTTTACCCTCTGGATTGATTTTTGTAAACCTAACAGCAAAATGATTCAAACTAACTATTAAATTGCAAATTTCAGGTTTAAAAAAAAATGACTAGGAGCTGCAGATAATTCACCACTCTGGCTTGTTAGTTAAGTCAACCAGCTTCATATCATATGGGAGATGCTTTTCTTCCAAAGTTAACAACACTCTTTGGCAAAATGGACCTGGCATTACAATGGAATATAAACTGGTTGAAAGATTGTAGCATAAATTTTGTGAAAGTTATTTAGCATATACTCCGAAAAATCCAGTGCTGTATTAATTTCTCAGCTATAATAGCCATTAGTGAAAACAAAAAATGTGTTGCACAACAATGCTGTATTAATCCCTTTGTTATTTAACTAAAACAAACAACATAGTAAATTAAAGGGAGTAACATTTTATTCTTCTCCTCCCTTTGTTTTAGTCATTCCCTTTCCCTTAGATGAACCAAAAGGCTCTTAAGGGTTTTTGTTTCCATTCTTCTTGTTTCCCTTTCTTATACTCATGCCCTTTCCCTTTGTTAAACCAAAGGGCCCCCAAATAGTATTACCTCAGCCCCATTATACTCACCCTGTTTCTCAATTAGGAATTTTACTCTCTACATTATCTCTAGAATTAGGTTCTACACTCGCTACTCTCACTTGCATGATATTTTGTGCAAATAGATATGGGACAAGTAAATTGGAATATACATTTGTTCTTCTAAGTCGTCTAATTCTCTTCTATTCCGTTATTGTACGCCAAACATAATGACTGGATATTTCACAGTGCATTCTCACTTTTATGTCTCAATAACCTCATAACCAAACGTAGCTTAATAATGTACTTTGTAGTTCAATCAAGTAGACTAAAGACCTGAATCCAAACAAATAGCGGATAATCAAACCAGCCATATAACCAATGTCGAGACTAAATTAATATATGTTGTCATGCCAAAAAAAAAAGGTATAAACAGAATAAACACTAGGAAAATAAAAAAAAAATCCATTATTGCACACTGAATTGTTAGAAATTAGAAATCCAAAAATTATGCATATTACCGTCAGAATTAGCCATCTATTATTAGTGGAGTACTATCCTCCAGAACAAAATTTAGTTGTCACGTTAGTAATTCAAATTATGCATAACTGTTTTAAGGAGTAACTGTTATGAATTAGTCTGCTGACAATTGAGCCCAAATTCCTAGTACAAGACAGTATACCCATTATAATCTAATCTAATAACCAATAAATTCAACCGAAAAACCACAAACAATCACATTTTCTCAATTACCCGGATTATTATAACCAAAAAAAAAAAACATTTAAAAATACGAGTACACAATTATGCTATAAAAAACAAAATTATAAACATGAAAACAGAAATTCAGCATTATGAAAATCAAATTATATAGTAAACCAATAAAATTAGGAAGAAAGAAAGAGAAGTACAATCGCCAAGCTTGTTGGGAGTGGTGATAGATTCCTTGACACAAATTTGAAGAGGATCCGAAGAAGCCATTGATAAAGTGAGAGATCTTCTGGTAGAATGCTTGAAATTATGAGTAAAAATGGTGCGATTGTTGTGATGAAAATGGGGGTTTGAGATTATCTGACGTATGAAGGTTGATGATGAGAGAGAATACGCGACTGGTGTTAATTTAACGGTCGACATTTCGTTCTTCTTTTGCTGCCTAGCGTTTCGCCTTCACTTCATCGCTATTTATCATTTTTTATAGTCCTTATACACGTGCTTTTCTGTTGTGCGTATATCTAGAACTTTTCCCTTAGGCTAGAAGTACAGGATGGTTAGGTTTGGGTTAGATTAAGTTCATGTTCTTTTGAGTTTCTAGACAGAGCAGAACAGATTTTAGAACAGAGCAAAGCAAATTGAATCAAATTTCATTATTATTATTACTATTATAAAGGAAATTTTGTGTAGAACTATCCTAAACATAGGGTCATTTGTGAACAACTATCCATTTTTTTTATTTGTTTAGAACTACCCATAAGTTTGAAAACATTTGGGTTAGCACTACCCATTAATATTTTCGGTCCAATTAAGACGTTATCGGAACCCACTTTTTTCACTTTTGCCACCTAATTAACTCTCCCAATTTATATAAAGGTTTTAATTTACCTTAATTGACCTAATTAGGTTTTAATTAGAATTCATTTTAGGGTTCATGAGTTTAGTATTACTTGGGGATTTTGATTTATAAGGTTTGGGGGTTTAATTGAATTGGGGTTTTTTCTTATTATTTCATTAATTGGCCATTGCAATTGAAAAAAGTGAAAATTTGGGCCAAAATAACGTTTTAATTGGACCAAAAACGTCAGTGGGTAGTGTTACCCAAACTTTTCCAAACTTGCGGGTAGTTCTAAACAAATAAAAAAAATGGGTAGTTGTTCACAAATGACCCTATCTTTAGGGTAGTTCTACACAAAATTTCCTATTATAAAATATTAACAAAACCTACAAAGTCAATCAATTTACAAGAAATTATCATCATCATCATCATCATTATTATTATTATTATTATTATTATTATTATTATTATTATTATTATTATTACGAAAAATACACTTTAATGATCCCAATTATTGGCGATTTATCTAGAATAATCCTAACTAAGGATTATTTTCTAACAGAACCAACTTTGCCTCTTATTTTCTTATAGTAGACCCAACCGGTCAACTACAGGTGAATAACCTGTTGTAACAAGTCATATGCCACGTGTCAACACACGATTGGTCCAAAATTTAAAAAAAAAAACAAAAAAAAATAGAACATTAAGAAAAACATAAAATAATTATAAAAAAAACTGAAAATTAAAAAAAATCTGAAATACAAAAAAAAAATCAGACACTTAGAAAATTTTCAAAAAATTAATAAAAAAAATCAAAAAATTTAAGAAACAAAAAAAAAAACCCAAAACCCACCGGCCACCCTCCCACCACCCCGTAACCCTAGCCAGCCACCCTCTCTCCCCTTTCCCCACCAGCAGCCAACCCCCTAAACATCCTAAAATGGCCGGACAACACCCACCCAGCTCGGAAGCTATCCGGTCGGCCCAAAATCACCCCTGAAATCACCTCCCTTACTATTCCCCGACCCCCATAACCATCATTTCCTCTCCCCCGACCCTGGAAACAACCCCACCTCCTTTCCCCCACCGTCAAAATCGGCCATTTCGACGGTAGGGGAAAGGAGGAGGGGTTGTTTTGATGGCCGGAGAAGTGGGAGGGGGTGGTTTTGGGGGTCGAGGAATTGCGAGGGGTAGTTTCGGAGGGTGGTTTTGGGTCGGGCGAGTGTTTTCCGAGATGGGTGGGTGTCGGCCGGCCATTTTGGGATGTTTTGGGGGTTGGCCGCTGTAGGCGTCGCTCGAAGTGCGCCTACGTTAAAAGCATGTGGTGAATATGCTTGGCACTCATAGGAAATGGAATTGACGTATGCGATTAGAGACAAATAAAGTAGGGAGCCGCCAACAAGTTTTTAAGGAACTTGTAAACCGTTCACGGATCATAAAAGGCAACCACGATAAAGGGACAACGATAGGCAACAACGATTGACCCGTGAAGGTTACACCCCATTCATAATCCATGAGATTACTAACTCCATATGGTTCGGAACCACGAAAGGAGGATCGGGGATGATGGTACGAAGTGAGTCATGGAGTCACATTCGCCCGTATTGGCCTCTACTCGATTCTTATAGTGAAAAGTGATTCCTGCGATCTCAAAGGCATACAAATAAAATATTCAATTTGCTCCAATCTATTATTAAGCTAAATTAGTTGAATATTAAATGCAACATATAATTCTAAAATATTTGTGATCACTTGAATTAAACAACAAGATTAAAAAGGAACCTAAACCGGTTGTCCAAATTATCTTATTAGGCGTGATTTTCAATTACATATTCCCTTTAAACATGAAATATGGTGATCATAAAAAATATAATAGAATAAACATTAATATTGGAAGCAATTCAACAATAAATTGTTAGTCAAATCAAATAATAAACTTAATCATGATACTAGCGATATTAAAAATAAAATAAGAGTAATTAAATTAATTAATTACTCACATTCTGCGTGTTCCTTTAAATTGCTACATCATGAATAAACTGTTAGTAACTTCAATAAAAAAAAAATCAAATTGAAACAATTAAATTAAATAAAAAGTAGAGTTGATTTGGTCCAAACCCTCAGTTAATTCTACCTTTCACGCCTTGGTTTAAGTATAGAACTTCAGGTAAAGTATGGACTCCTTGGAGTGCTTAAAGGAAGAAATAGTAAAAGAATGGGGAGGCTAGTGTTTAGGCTAAAGAGGGAGAAGAAAATTATTTTATGATCAAGCTTGTTGATGATTGGAAAAGGGGAAATATGACCTCTATTTATAGAGAAAAAAGAGGGTCGAAGAATCAAGAAAAGATAAGAATTCGAATCGGATAAAACTCTGGCGATAGACAACAGTTTTTGCGGTTTTTGTTTTTATCATATCTTTTGATCCAGAAATTGTAATAAGATGAATAAGATATCGTTGGAAAGATATTGAAGTCTACTTTTTAACCCAATTAGAATCAGATTAAAATATTTTATATAATAAAAGACATGATCGAAATAGTGAGATGGTATCAGTTTTGGATAGAGTTTGACATTTTATTCATATCTTTTCCGTTATAGCTCGGAATTGATATTATAATATATCATTGGAAAGATAATTTCAAGGGCTATCCAACCATATAAAATTTAGATAAAAAATATGAGGCACGAAAATAATATCTGTCTATCTTTGAACGTCTTTCAATTCGGATAGAAATAGGTTTTTCAAAAAGAAAAGTTACATTCAATTTCAAACTCTTTAATCTTATCTTTTCAAAAAGGATAATTAGGATCTTTTAGAAACTTATAGAAGTTTCTAATTAATCCTAATTGGTTTAGGAAGTGGATTAAATCATTTGGACCCTCCACATGATCATTGGGTCGTAGGTAAGGTTGGCTTAGGTTCGGTTTGGGCACAGTTTAATATTTTGGCCATAACTTATTCGTTATAACTCGGATTTGGGCTTATAATATATCGTTGGAAAGCTCTTTTAAAGCCCCATCCAACTATACAATCATTGGACCCAGATTAAACTTTTTATAAAAAGGACACGAAATGAATGATTTTAAAGGACACGAAATGAATTATTTTGGGTTTAAAGGCACGAAAAGAGGAAAGTAAGGTATGGTTTGGGAAAATGGGATAGAAGTTGGGTTGGTTTATGAAATGGAAATATGGATTTAATTACTCCAAGATTAAATACTCAACCCAATCAATAATGGCGATGAAAGGTTGTTCATCATCGGGTTTGGTTTTGGGGAGACATTTTTAGGTTTCTACAGCCGCCGGCGGGGAAAGAGGATGGAGGGTGGCTGGCTAGGGTTACGAGATGGTGGGAGGGTTTTGGGATTTTTTTTTTCTAATTTTCTGATTTTTTAACTTTCTGTTTTTTATTATCATTTTCTGATTTTTTTTTTTTAATGAATTTTCTAATTGTATTTTTATTTTCTGATTTTTTATTTTTGTTTTTTAAATTTTTTTTCTCTAATTTTCTTTTTTTTTTTCATTTTCTTATTTTTGTTTTTTAATATTTGATATTTTATTAATTTGATTTCTTTCAATTTTCTGATTTTTTTTTTAATTTTCTATTTTTTTTTAATTTTCTGATTTTTTTAAAATTTTCTGATTTTATTTTCTAATTTTTTAAATTCTAAACTAATCACGTGTTGACACGTGTCATTTATAAAAAAAAAATAAAAAAAATTACCTTTTCAATAGGTTAACAGTCATTGGGATCGCTGGAAGAAAATAAGAGGCAAAGTTGGTACTGTTAGAAAATAATCCTTATTTGGGATTATCCTAGGTAAATCGCCTATAGTTGGGATTATTAAAATGTATTTTTCCTTATTATTATTATTGTTGTTGTTGTTGTTGTTGTTGTTGTTGTTGTTGATATAAATGTCAGAAAACCTACAAAGTCAATTAATTTACAAGAAATTGGTGGAAAGACGAGATACAATCTGGGCCCCCACCCCTTTAGCTATAGAAAATCCGATCCTATTGAAAATGTGAGCAGCTGCACGAGCACCAATATCCTGAGTCTTAACGAACACCTGTACCCGCTTCAGCAACGCAATAGCATCCTTCTCTAATTCCCCCAACAAAGAAAAGGAGAAAGGAAGAAAACCATAGCTAATAGCCCTGCAACGCGCCCCATACTTGTCCCGCTTCCGCTGAGTCGCCGTCGACACAACACGACCAGGAACGAAATCAGACAACCCCGATTGCGTCAAAAGTGAAGACCCCGTCAAGTCAACACATACATCAAGGCCTCTATCCCAGGAATAAAGTAGCACATATGCTGGTCGCAGAGCCTCGTCGTTCCCTCATAACAACCCAATGTTAACCTCCTTTCAAGCAGAAATCCCACACCGAAAACAAGTATCAACAAGGGTGTCACGAACAACGTTGTGCCGATATTAATACCCACCATCCCAGCACAAGACACTGCATGATCCCCATAAATATCCCCATCAAAAACCCTTAAGCAAGCAGAACATGGTGTTGAAACGGAAAACAAAGGAACACCCAGCCGGTAGCAAAGAACACTACGGTAAGTCTTACCATTCATAATCTGTCCCAAACCCGATATCGGGATTGTCCGCAACCAGGC